AGGTGAGAAGACGAGTTCGTGCAGGGCGCCGAATTTCCTCACATCTACCTCGAGCATCACAGACAGACCCGTCTCAATGCAGCTCACGACGGAGGCTGAAACCACCAGGTGGCATCCTGGGTATGGGCATGCACGTCTGAATCAAAACAGCAATTAGGGTTTAGGGGTTTAGGGTTTAGGGTTTGGGGGTTTAAGGTTTAAGGTCTAGGGCTTAGGGTTTGGGGGTTTAAGGTTTCAGGTTTGGGGTTTAGGGTCTTATTGTAGCGGTGGCTCTACAAGAAAGTTGGGGGCGCGGAGCCTGCCAGATCGACAAATGCGTGGCGGTACAGCAAAGGAGCATCTTGTATGCCCCATGAAAAGTAGGGTTCCCATACTTATTATAGAAACTTAGTTCAAATTCCTTGAGCCCTAAGCTTCCATAAACTTAGTTTAAATTCCTTGAGCCCTAAACTTCCATACTTATTGTAGTAACTTAGCTTAAATTCCTTAAGCCCTAAACCTTTATAGGAACCCCCCACATTCTCGTAACTTGGCAATTCGGCTCTGGACCGAACAGAAGGCCATTGCATCCTTCTGGCTGGCTTCTGTTCCCAAAGGGTCCTACGGTTGATGATATAAATCCTGCATTACCCATAACAAGGAATATACCATAATTCCCATAGCTTGGGGCCCTGGATTTATATCATCAACAGTAAGTCGATGGGGGATACTTGCCCACACCGTCACAGTAATTAAGTCCTATTGTAAAAGCCCTACGTTCTGCCATATACCTAGACCCCTACATGTAGTAACTTTGATTGGGTGACCAACTTTAGGGATCCTATCATAAGAAACTAAGGCAACCCACAAACCCTGAACAGAAACACCGTAAGCTTCGACCTGGCACAGCATCACCAAGATCCTGGCGACGCCGAGGTGGAGTGTGGCACCCACCTCACAAGTGGGTTGTTGTTAAGTTACCTGAACTTGGGGTGCCTTTTAAGGGTTCCTATCAGGATTTAGGGTCTATGGCAAACGGACTCTTCAGTTAAGTTATTACAAGATCCTTAAACCAGCAAAGCTTCACCAAGAGAGGAAGGGCAGCCACTGCTATGCTGCTACTAGAACTGCTACTCCTCCTACTGCTATCATCATTGCTGCTATTAGTGTTATTGTTCATGATTATTGCTGCTGCTACTACTCCGACTGCTACTGCTACTGCTATTACCAATGCTACTGCTATTACTACTGCTACTGCTACTGCTGCTGCTACTGCTATTGCTACTACTGCTACTGCTGCTACTACTACAACAACAACTACTACTACTACTACTACTGCTACTACTACTACTACTACTACTACTACTACTACCATGTCAAGGATTCACAGACGAAGCACTACTTCAAATGCGCTTGCCGGAAGTCTATGGTGGTATGGACACAAACCAGTTGGTTCTTGTTAGGAAGTTTAGCTTCAGTTACCCTTACCAGATCAGCAGAACAGGAAGCCCTACTATTTACTATATATTATATTTTCCTACAGATCCCTATTATGGTAACTTAGATGAAAACCTTTCCCTATCATTTAATACATTTTCCTATAGATCCTATCATGTCACAGGAACCAAAACCCTAAACCCTAAACTAAACCCCTGAACCATAGACCCTAAACCCTAAACCCTAAAATCAGGCCAAGAGGATGTCTCCGGCTCCTGCCGGTCTGCTGCTGACTGAAGGTTCAGGGTTGTGATCGAGGCTTTGAGTTCAGGCTTTAGCGTTGAGGGTTTAGGGCTCGGGCATTAGGGTTTAAGGTTTAGGGTTTTGGATTTGGTGTTGAGGAGCCCTGGCATACAGCATGCACATCTCTCGACACGCAGCCAGATGTGGATTCGACAGACATGCGGAGTGCTCTCACAATGAGCGAAGTTCAGCAAACACGCCGAGTTGTCGCGGTGGCCTTGATGCAGTGTTGGCTGACCTGGAAGTTTACGGCATGGGCGTGATCAGGTCATTAAGGGAGGGCATCGAGGTCTTTCGAAAGCTTTCCGGTTTCATTGGTTTCTATTGTCTGGGGCCGGGTTAAAGGAAACTACAGGTGGGGAGTTTTGGGTATATAGGGCTTCTATAAGGCTTCTATAAGGTATATAGACCTTCTATAAGGCTCCTATAACGGTAACTAACCACCTGAAAATCCCTAAACCCAAAACCCTTAAACCCTAAACCCTAAGCCCTAAGCCCTAAGCCCTAAGCCCTAAGCCCTAAACCCTAAACCCTAAACCATTATAAGGCTCCTATAACGGTAACTACCCACCTGAGAATCTCCTGGACCGGGGCTTCACCTTCGAGGCTGCAGGCGGTTCATTCATCAACGTGTACTTTAAGCTCCTTTTTGTAGGGGCCTTAATAATTAGAACAGGGTTTTGGGGGTTCCTTTTCAGGGTTCCTTTAAGGGATACTTTCAGGGCTACTATAAGAGCTTATAATGTAGGGGCCTTAATAATTAGACTGGAGTTTTTGGGGTATATTCTACCCCCAAAATAGAGTGAGTAGTATAGGTAGTTATTTGGGATTTAGGCTCCTATATTATTGCGCTGTCCTCTTGTAGCAAGCTCATGTTGCAAGAAGTGTCCCAAGGGGCAGCCTGATTTGAGCACGAAGCCGCAGCAGTCTAACGCAAACACCTGCTCTGACATCTCATGAACACAGCCCCCCTATCTAATCCCAAGCCCGTCCAAAACATCAGTAGCCTACCAAATCCTTTTTCTCAGGCAGCAATCCAGCAAGACCCGTTCCGAAAAGCGGTCCCCACAGGAAGCTAGAAGCCAAGCAGAGCACCCTAATATGGGGGCCTTAATAATTAGAATAGGGTTTTGGGGCATGTTATACAATATAACTATACTAAGGAACCCCAAAATAACATAGGTGAAGACCCCTATATGAAACCCTAAACCCTAAAGCCCTCAGAGCTGCGATCCTCGATCTAGACTTATTTTTTGGGGCGGCTCTCGACCTTGCTCTGCCCTTAGAAACCCGTAGAGGACCCCACCAAAAACTCTCAGAACACACTCAAAGAAAGGAACCCTCGGAAACCAAAGCGGGATCCGACAACCTACCCTGAACTCATGTTATGCGACTGTACTAATAGCTTTCTATGGAACCTAGGAGCACAAGAAGGGAAACAAGAGCTCAGCCGGAGACCTTATGTCGGGGCCTAAATAAGTACCAATACTCTTGTGGTGGTTTCCTACATGTAAACATAGTATACTGGGCCCCAAAACCCTATTCTAACTATTTGAGGCCCTAAACCCTAACCCTAAACCCTAAACCGTCTCTAAGACTCGTCTTGCAGATGGGCGACTGCTTCGACTAAACCAGGCCGGCTAGCGACGAAGCCGCAGCCTGCGACGGTCACCTGCGAGCCGATTTAGGATTTAGGGTCCGACTTTAGTTGGGTTTAGGATTTCGGGTCCGACTTTAGTTGGGTCTAGGGTTTAGGGTCCGACTTCAGTCGGGTTTAGGGTTAAGGGTCCGACTTTAGTTGGGTTTCGGGGGTTTAATTTAAGCGGTCTTCGGTTCTCTACGGGGTGGGTTTGGGATTTATTGGGATTAGGATGGTAGGGGTTAGGGCGTTTAGGGTTTAGGGTTAGGGTTTAGGGTTTAGATGGTAGGGATTAGGGCGTCGGGAGGAAATTTCTGTGAGTGTACAGCCCCCCCACTCAACACCGTTTAGAGCTGTGGCCCAAAGAAGCAGATACCTGCTTGCGAGGATATCTACGGAACTCCGAAAAATGCAGGGTTTGGTGGCTAGGAGTAGGGTTTAGGGATGTCAGGAATTCTGGTTTGGGGGTTGAATACCTAAACCCCAAATCCCAAAACCCTTAAGCCCCAAACCCTGAAGCCCTTGAAACCCTGAAACCCTAAACCCTGAAACCCTAAACCCTAAACCCAAAACCCTGAAACCCTAAACCCTAAACCCTAAACCCTACACCATAAACCCCTCAACCCTAAACCCCTAAACCCTAAACCCAAAACCCTGAAACCCTAAACCCTGAAACCCTAAGCTCCCTTCCCTCAGGAGCTTTGGCCGGAAGCTCTTTTGCGCCAAGCTGCAGCTTGTCGCGCTTCGGTAAAATCATCTGCAAGGTAGGTTTTCAGGTAGGGTTTAGGGTTTAGGGTTTAGGGTTTAGGGTTTAGGGTTTAGGGTTTAGGGTTGAGGGTCTAGGGTTTCGGTTTTAGTAAGAGGCTCGGTGGAAGCTACTGGCGACATCGTCGCCAGATATCAGCCAGATAGCGTCTCCGACAGCCACGACAGCCAAACACGCGGCATGAATTCTGCAAGAACGCCATGCTGCCAAGCCTCCTAATTCGGATACCCTGAAACCTAGTTCGTAATACCCGTTGTGTCGGGCGGCTCTAGTTTGCGGCCTGCAAGCAAACATCCGGGAAAGAACCCTGTCATTTTCAGTTTAAGGACTTAGATGAGGAAATCATAACAAGGAGCCCAACAAGTTAGAGGTAGGTTACGCAATGTTCATTCAGAGTTTAAGTGTGAGGAATTAGGGTTTAGGGGATCGAAAGTAGGGCCTTTCCTTGTGTTGCCCGGGAGCCATAAATTCAAATCTCTGCACGACAGCGGAAAAGCCATGTGAGGAGTGCTTTGCAAACTCGCCATGGAACCGCTGACAAATTTCGAGCTTGTACCCAGAGAGCCCAGAGCCCTTTAAACAAGGAATACATCTGAAATTACGGGGATGAGAGTTAGAAGTTAAGGTATATTCCTTTCTTAAGGGGTATTGGGTTCTCTGGGCTCTAGGAAAATGACAAGTTGGACAGTCCCCTCGGATCTCTAATTTGCCGCCTTGAGGCTAAACTCCAGAAAATGCTATGATACTTGCGACAGCTCCGTCTCTTGGCCTTCACAAGTGTCTCCAAAGTATATGAGTATATTACCGGATTTCAATCGTGCTGGTATTTCGAAACCTAAAGGACCACCTTTTCTAAGCTGTCCCAACGACCCGGCATCACTTCAACAGCCAAACATCACCATCAATCCACAGTATGGTCACTTGTCCCTCTCGACGGACTGTGCCTGTGGTGATATGGCCCTCAATTTCTATCAAAACCGTATTATCGTTGAGGCGCTCCAGTGGCGTTTTTGCTTTTGGGACTTTCCATTGGATATGCGAGATCATGCTGTTCCCGTAAATCTCTCCGACACAGCTATTGTCCTTCTCGCGGTACCAGCTCCCCTGGAAGGCATCCCAGAATCGGTCGGAGGCTTGTGAACGCGGCGTGCTTGCCACCACACCACCATTGATAAGGCACTGCACCGGAACCCGAAACTTTAAGCCCTAAACTTAAAGCCTCTAAACCACTAAACCTCTAAACCCCTACACCCCCAAACCCTAAACCCCAAACTTGGTGGTTCTTGTCCGTTCTCTCTTCGTTACCAGTTTCTTCTACGGCTTCGCTAGACAACCGTCCGCCTGAGAAACTGCAATGTGTTTTAGAGGTAAGGTTCGACGTGTAAAAATGAAAAAGGATTAGGGCTTAGGGTTGGGGTGCAGGAATTTTGGGGTTTAATGTTGAGATTCAGGGGCGAACGGTGCTGGTTGGCGGTATGTCGGCAACAGGATTTCGGAGTGAAGGGCCAGATGCCTTCACATGAGGCCCGTGGATTCCGCCTCAATCGTGATTTCTTCTGGTTTCATGAGCTTAGCGGCTGCATTCGGATCGGCCTGTGTAGGACCATCAAGGGGGATCGTTCCACCCACTAGATCCAGTGCTCTTCGGAGAAATCGCAACTGCAATTGCTAGAGCCTACACTATCGCCTTGACATGGGGTATGTTGCCGTGTAGACAGCTGATGATATGGCATCTTGTCATTGACATCGCTGGTCTTGCTGCCGCTGCAATGATCTGCAACGTGTAAAACCTGCATCTATCAGTACGTACTGCTGTTGGGTATCCGATCGCCATTCTGGAGATGCTGTTGCGTTGCTGCTGATGTGCTACTTGGTGTCGGTGCGACCGAGGTTTGGCTGGGTCTGGGCATGCCGGCCCCGGTGGTGGTGCTGGTGCTATTATAGACCCTCACAGGATTGGGCTCTTACATTTTTGCGTTTTTGGACGGTCGACGTCGCCGTCGTCCTCCTCCTGCCCTGATCCCGTCCTCATCCTCGTCGGCACGTCGTCGATTTAGGGTTTAGCCCCGAGTCCTTCATGCCGTGGTCGTGGTGGAGGTCGTAGTCGGGGCTAGAGTTTAGGGTTTAGGGGTTTAGGGTTTAGGGCGGCTGCTGCTGCTGCTGCTGCTGCTGCTGCTGCTGCTGCTGCTGCTGCTACGACCACCACCACATCTGGTAATGCACCCAATTACCAGCATACGGCCGACCGTAGACTGTATTGGACTCGCTTTCCTTGTGCACTTGCAGAGTCATAGTTCTGACACGGCATTCTTCGTTGAAGAATCGTATGGCATCGTGCTTGGTTCTTTGACCTTACTACATTTGTTGTATACCAACATCATTTTTGTTCGTTTAATGATATGGCCCTGTGAGGCACTTCATTGAAATATCTTGTGAACTGATGCATTCTGCAGTCTTGATAGGTTCGCACACGCACAGGTCCGAAAGTTACCTGCTATTGTAGTCGAATGTCCTCAATGTCGAATTTTGCAGGAATCTGTTCAATCACATCGGCGATGTAGTCGAGATCCTGGCAGCGGCGATGCTGGTGTTGCGACTGTTGCTGTTTGTTGCTGTCGTTGGTGGTGGAGGTGCTGGTGCTGCTGATGCTGCTGGTGGTGGTCGTCGTGGTGGTGGAGGTGGTGCTGCCTCCACGCATTGCTTTCACTACTCCTGGCCATTGTTCTTATCGTGCTTTTTGCTGCGCTCTGCTTCCTTGGCCTACTGTCATGCAACACCCTGATCGCAAAGTGGCTCCTCATCTTTCCGTCTTGCATGGTCTTTGCAAGTAATGCCAGGACAATCTTGCATGGTCTTTGCAAGCAATGCCATGCCAGGATAAGTGACAAGCTTTCCGACGAACCACATGGCAGCTCGCTGCGGAAATAAGCTCTACATAAACTGTTCCGAAACATCCTTTCAAGGTTTGGGGTACCGGGTTTTGGTTTTAGGGCTTGGGTTTTCGGGTTTCTCTGCAAGCCACAACGCTTCATAGGACGGCTGCATGAAGATTGTCTGTCGTGCTGAATGATGGATCAGACGGCTGCAGCTCACCGACGAATAGGCCGTCACAGGCAGAACCCTAGACCCTGAACCTCGAGACCCCCTGCAAACACCAAGGTCCCGGGTAATGTAAGGGCCCTTGATGATTAGAATAGAGTTTTGGGCTCCTTTAAAATTATAGTATAAAAAACGAAAGGAACCCCAAGGAATGATCTTGGTAATTA